GTTCATAAATGCAAATGATGAGCATATTATGAAAACAATTGTTAGAGACTGTGTTGTGGAAGAAAATCTGTCTGATGTTGCTGCAATGCTGAACATACCATCATCTGGGTATTTTCTGAGAAAGGGAGTTAACCACGTGGAAGGACCGTGGTCCAACTACGACAAGATGGAGTTCTACTATCAGATCTGCAGATTTCCAAAAGAGATGATTATCGCCAACTAACGCACTACTCGTCTGTTGTGCTATGCAAAGAATCTTACCGTTTCTGATCGGATGCTTCACTACATAATCTGTTATGTGCTGATTCCCAAGGATTCGAATCATGCACAAATCAATGATCTGGAAATGCAACTCCTTTTCTCCATCAAGAACAAGATTCGTGTCAATTGGATTCTGACCATCATGTATCACCTTCAACAACAACTATCTCTTTCAACCCGTCTTCCCTATGCACGGCTGGTATCAAGAATTTTGGAACTGACTACTTTGGATCTTAACCGTGAACCAACCATCAAGATGAAATCAACCACCAATGAGATCAACGAGATTACAATTGTCAAGAATACTGGAATTTTTAAGGATACTGACGGTACTTACAAGTATTCAGATGAAGGAGCCAATGCTAACCAGGCCTATCCCGTACCTGAAGGAGGCATTACAAATGAGTTCCTTTACCAAACTATAATGACTCAGCATAGAGAAACCTCCCGGGCCATTGCTTCTCTCCGGAACCTCGTACTTTCCTCTCACCACACCAACCATGACAACCTAGTTGTATCTGATGAAGAAAATGAAGGACAAGAGGAAGAAGAGGAGGAGGATATGGCAGATGAGGATCTTTAGAGAATATGTTGCTGTTGTTTTTTATTGCATTGCTTTCTAGTCTTAAGTTTTATGCTTCCTTTTGAACTATGTTTTATTGTAACAAGTACAATTTCTATTTGCTGCATTTTATATGTACTACTTCTTATGCTATGTGTTTACTTGGCTTTGCATGTGCTTATTACTATATATGCTGCTATCTTGTGTTTTCTTTGAAAGCTCTTCCTTTTTGCTGATGACAAAGGGGGAGAAGAGCTTGGTTCTGTTAATGTCTCTCTGTGTGCAGATTTTTTTCCTCTGTTAAGATAGGGGGAGTTGCTAGACATAGGGGGAGAAACATATCAAGAACCAGGAGATATCGCACAACATTTTTTGATTGCCATCATCAAAAAGGGGGAGAATGTAGAACCATGCTTCAGTCTCAAGTTTTGATGATGTCAACACTACTCAAGGTCATCTCTTGATTGCAAAAAGACAAGCCTTTCAAAGTTTATCAAGATCAAGTCAAGCTATCTTTCAAGTCAAGCTACATATGGAACTATGATTCTTCAAGACTTGGATGCATTACGGGTATATCAAATTCTACCCTTATAATTGATATACAAGTGTTCAAAAACATCAAGCATTTTAGCATAATACATGAGCATGTTTTTTGAAACTTTAAAATTGGTATAACATTATTTTTAAAAGCATTTTTCTGAAAAATAGCAGTGTTAACCGATTAACCATATAGGTTAACCGGTTAACCATTTCAAATTTTAAATAATCTGGGCTAACGTTTCAGTGTTAACCGATTAACCATATAGGTTAACCGATTAACACTGAACGTACAGTGAAAAATGGCTTTGTTTCAAGTTCAAAAAATTGTTTGAAAATTACACCATTTCATATTTTTTAAATCTACTCAAATATACCTTTTTGAAAGAGTATTTTACACATATAAATTCTGAGTTTTTTCAATTTTGAAAAACACACAAAAATCTCCAATCTCCAAACACTTTCTACATTCATTTTCAAATTTTCTTAAAATCAAATTCACCATTTTCAAAATCTTTTATTAAGTGTTCATATGTGCATAAAATTTCATATTCATCTTTGAACACTTGTGTTGAAAATTGTAAGAGTGAATTTTGATCATTTGGAGAAGATCAACTTTGATTGATAGTATTATTCTCGAAACAAAAATCTTTACAAGTATTTGTATTCTGACTTGTGATTCAGGATTGTTGGACACAATGGTGAGTGTTTACAAGAGGATTGTTCTTGTACACTTGTTAGTTTTATTGTTTGATAGTAGGCCTCACCGATTGATGGTGTGATAGGTTGTACTTTATTAAACAATAGTGAAAACTCTCTTTCGTGTTGAAAGGGGAGTGGAGTACTCTCGGATTGTGAGGGGAACCACTATAAATCCTGGTGTCCATTGTTCTTTTATTTTCTACTGCTTTCATAACCAAGAACACAAACCAGTAAAATTTCAAGAAACCCTAAAAACCGGAAAAATTTCTAAAGTCCTAATTCACCCCCCCCCCCTCTTAGGCACACTCTGTACTTTCATTTTTCTCGCTGGTTTCCATCAACTTATTATAATTGTGTTCCACCTTTAAATTATTTTATAATTTTTATACTTAATATAAATCATAAGCATTGTCTTTTTTTATAAAAAAAAATTATGTTGAGTTATGTTCGTTTTTTTCTTTTGATTTTGTTAGGTATTCTATCATATTTTCTTTTATATCAAATTGTAAACCATTCATTTTATTTATTTTTGCTTATTCATTTTATTAAATATTTTGAACTATTAATATTCAATAATAAGTTATTTTATATATTTGTTTTGTTATATGATTCATCACAATTTAAACGATGTTATTTGATATATAGTTTAATTTATGTTAGAAAGTTATAAGTCGAATCAATTGTACTCAATTTTTTAACTTTATGTGACAAATAAATATTTTTTAATCACTCAATATTAGAAATTTTATTACCAACAAAAATACACATGAATTTTTCACATTTTAATATCATATGACTTATATAAGATCCTAAGGATAAAATTGTAAATTATTAATAAAACCTCTCCCCCCCTTCTAAACCAAACACATTTTTAATTAAAATCTCTCTCTTTCCCTCCCCTCCTCATCTCTTTTGAACTAAACACTTATCTGATTAAAAAAATTCTTCCCCTCCCCTTCCCTTCATTAAAATCCCTCCGCATCCCTCCCCTTCATTTGAACCAAACAGATCTTTTAAGAGCTTTTTTTATTTAAATTAGTAGTTAAAAATATGGGATGTGATATTTAATTGATTATTATTATTATTATTTTATGAATATTGGTTTATTTATTATAAACATTATTTATAATATTTTTTAACGTGAAAATTTTGATGGAAGAATTTCTAGGATGATAATTAAGTATGATATGATATAAATAAATAAATAATTATTATAGTTTATTTATTACCATAAGTGAATGAAGAGTAAGTTAAGGTGGTCAATAGTTTAGTGGATAGAGTATTATTTAATTGATTTATAAAAAAAAACAATAGAGTAATGAGTTTAGTGGGAGATTATTTAATATATTATTATTATTATTTAATTAATTATTATAATTAAATTAGATGAGAAGTTTTGGCGGGAAAACTTTGCAGAAGTTATAAGATTATAATTTAGTATAATCCAATAAAGAATAATTTTTTGTTTATTGAAAAAAATTATTACTACATGTTGACATTTACAACATCATTTGATATTATTTAATCATTATCTTATTTTAAACTACAAATTAAATAACACTTAAATTTTCATATTACATATTTTGTATCTTTGTGAATAAACAATAACAATATCACTGTTAGATTAAAAATTGATAATAAAAAAATCAATTTCAATTTCTGACTCGTTTAAAACCATCATTCGAGAATCTAATTGAAAGAACTATATATTATTCAAATTAAATAATTGTATTATCCCGACATACAACTCAATCCAATTCATTTATTAAAAAAAACAAATTAATCGATTTCAATCAAACAATTCAAATTTGTTCGTCCACAATTTAAATGATCTGACCTGATCAGAAGGGGATAACAGACTGATCACACGCTGTTGGACTGCTTTTTGTTCACCGGTGATGAGGAGAAGAAAGGGGAGTGTACCTACAAGACACTCTGATGCCAAAGTAAGGAATTGGGCAGAGTGAGAGCAAAGTATAGAAAGGGCAAGATGTGAATTACCTGACCCTCTTGAGAAAGAGGGTATTTATAGAGAGACCCCAGCGCTGAGCCAACGGTCACTTGCGTTGGGCTGGATGACCAGACCCAACTCAGGTGACTGCTAGGGCTTACGTGGCATAGTGAAGACCGGGACATGGTCTTCGCCCTAGTCCAACTGTCCCGTGGTCTCCGGAAAGTGGGTTTGACCTGCTCTTTCGGAGGTGGGCAGTTGGGGGATGACGTGTCCCCGCGGAGGGGAGCATGCAGAGAACGTGCGCATGGTAAGTTGTTCTGCCCGCGGAGACGAACACACGAGGCGGGGGAGACATATCGTCCTGCTCGTTGGTATGGGGATTCTGCCCGTGGAGGGCTGCTCTGCCCGACTAGGGGTGCCGTCCTGTTCGGCGGAGCATGCCCTGCCCGTCGAGGGGGTCGTCTGCCCGACCAGCCTACTCAACTCATATTAGGCCTTGATTGTGCGTTATTGGGACGGATCGCGAGGTGAGGCCGGACCCAGACCAGAACATTAAATATCCCAAAAACTTCTCACGTAAGGGTGGTGAAACAAACCCGACTCATTAGATCCGCCCCGCCCTACCCATTGTTTTTAAACTTTCGTGTGAGGTAGGTCTAAAGGGGGCGGCATGCACGTTGCTACCCTAGTGTAATGTATAAAAAGTCTATGACCCACGTTAATTTACTCTTTCAAATGAAATAATTGACACCATGTGATTCTTGATAAATAATACATCTAGTACCTATCAATGATTGAAAAACGGACTACTGTACCAATCAAGGTTAAATAATAAATAATAATAATAAAAAAATAAATAAGGATCACAGATATCTCATATCTTTCTTACTCAGATAAAACGACGAGAGTGCATCCAACGGAGGAAGCCATCCCTTCTCAGTCCCTCCGTATCTTTAGTTTGCAAAAGTTCAGCTAAACGATGAAATGAAACTACTCGCTCCCGCGACTCCCCTCCGAGCACTACACGTGCTAACTCTCTTCAACCACACGTGTCTCCTTCGGCCTCTACCCGCAACCGTACTCCCCCCCTCTCCCAACTCTACACTCAGAATGCTTCATTATAAATACCAAACGCGCGCCTCACAATTTAACAGAACCATAACCGCTCGCATGGAGTCTCCAAATCCCGAAACCGAAGCCAAAATGGAAGAAACCGAAGCCGAAATGGAAGAAAACGAAGCCATTAAAATTGAGAGCAAGTTCCGATCAGAGTTTCTGCAAATGCTCCGTAAGAGACGAGCTCCTCAAGGTACAGCGTTCAATTTCACTGTCTCGATCGTTGTTATGTATTGATTTGCATCGATCCTCTGCTTTTGTTTCTGGAAGTGAAATTCGTTTGTTGATTATTTTCAGTTCCGTTAACGGTTGAAATCGCAAAACCAGCCACGGTTTTTTGGTATGAGAGCATTCCAGGCGAAGAGGTTCATGTTTCAACACTCGTTCGATTATCTTCTTCATCTGCTTGTTTTAATTCAATCTAATAACAATTTTATATCAGGACACTATGAGATCTTGTCCAAAGAAAGACATTGAGAATTTCAAAGATTTGCTCAAGGAGGAGAATCTGCATTTAAATATAGAGGTGAGCATAATTAACGAAATAATTCGATTTCTAATATTTTTGTTATTCGAATTTGATTTTTAGGTCTAGAGATTAATTTGTTGTTATAATCCTTGATTTTGTAGGAAGGAGATCAAGGAAAGTTACCGGTGTTGATTTTGAGCTTGAAGGAAAGTGATAAACAGATAAAAAGACCTGCGGTTGTTATCCTTCACGGTTCAAACAAGTGTAAAGAATATATGCGTCCATTGCTAGAGGTTGCTAATGCATTTTCTCTGTTCTACTCCTATGAAATATAATTTATGATTCATTATAATCGTGGATTTTATTTGTGTTCTTGGTGTTTCAGCCATATGCTTCACGGGGATACGTAGCAATTTCGGTTGATTCTCGTTACCATGGTGAACGAGCAAAGAGTGCCAACACCTATCGCGAGGTATATGTTCTAAACTGCAGTTGAGGCTATCTGTGATGCAGATTGCAGCATGTAAGATGCTTGCACAAAATGATAAAAAAAAGCTCAATAATTAACTATTAGAATCATTTATATAGTCTTTATCTATCTTGTATATAGTTCTATAATTAACTTTGTAATAGTAATTTATCTATCTTTTTTACGTGTTTAATGGTTTTATGTTCATCTCATCTTTACATAAGATAGAAATTGATTATTTTTCTCAAATTTACGACTACTCAAAATCCTTCACAAACAAAAACATAAGTGATCTGTGTAAAAATTCTAAACTGATAATTTGTTTTTCCCTTTTGTGTTGGTTACTCCCCGGGGTTAAAAAAAACAGGCTCTTATTTCTGCATGGAAAACCGGAGACACAATGCCATTCATATTTGACACGGTAAATTTATTACATGTGTATCATAGTGCTTTGTTATATAACTAAACCATTTTATGCCTCCCAAAATGATTTGGCTGACCTGAATGTGATTGAAACTGTGTACTAATCCTTGATCTGGCAGGTTTGGGACTTGATTAAATTGGCAGATTATCTAACACAGAGAGAAGATATAGACCCCTCTAGGATAGGAATCACAGGAATATCACTTGGAGGTTGGTTGAAAGAAGTTGAGAGGAATATGTTAGATACTAGGTTTGTTGTGACTCATCACTTGCATAATTTCTTGGTTCAGGAATGCACGCATGGTTTGCTGCAGCTGTTGATACTCGCTATGCAGTAGTTGCTCCTCTAATTGGTGTTCAGGTGACATTGTATTATTGATTGAAGCTTATCTTTAACGAGGTCTGCTTTTGAAAAACAACAACCAAAACACTATGAATCATATACTTGCAGGGATTTCGATGGGCCATAGACAACGATAAGTGGCATGGCCGAGTTGATAGTTTAAAGCATGTTTTTGAAGGTATGATGATGTATTATTTCTGAAATTTCTTTTACATTTCACGAGTTTTTGCTTTACTTTAGTTATTATTCTTGCTACTTCATTGAGTACTATAATTCTAGTAATCATACATATAGCAATTTCTATGTGTAGTGCTTTCAAAAATTAGCAGGATTTCATATGTACTGTCAAACAATCTCTTTAAAGATCAATGTTCTCATTTACATATTTGCATGTTAAAGTTGTAATGATGTTTGAGTTAGATCTAGAAGGGAAATATGATGGGTAAGCATACCAGCAACGAACGACTGTATTTTGAATGTGCCTTGAAAATTAATTACATCATAATGCTCTTGTGCTCATGTATGCAGTGGCTCGTGACGATTTGGGTAAAAGTGAAATTGACAAAGAGGTAGTGGAGAAGGTCAGCTAAGTTTGTTATATTTATAATTTCAACTATAATTGTCTCAAGACTCCAACTGATTTTGATATATTGCTTTGATATGTTTACTGCTCTAACAAAGCATGCATGACAATGGTTGATACCATGGTGTACATATATTTATAATTGCTACTTATTTGTCCACTTAGCAGAATCTTCACATAAATACTGGATACTAACCTCAAGAGTTTATATTCTTGAATCAGGTGTGGGACAGGATTGCTCCTGGTTTAGCTTCCCAGTTTGATTCCCCCTACTCGATTCCATCTATTGCACCCCGTCCTCTGCTTATTCTCAATGGTAAGATTCTTGTATTTATTATTTATTAACACTTTCAAATTGTAGTTGCAAGTTGCAACAATATTCATATGCAAATTGATGTCTTGAGCACGCTAATACAAGTTTTGCACTTCTTCAATTACTTATTATTAGACCTATATATCTCTATTAATCGGTTTAGATATTTAAGGGGGTTTTGAATTTAACTTGGAATTGAAATATTATCTTGGGTGTTTGTAACTCTAGGAGCGGAAGATCCTAGGTGTCCCCCTGCCGGTTTGGAAGCTCTAAGATTGAAAGTAAGTGAGATGTATGCAAAGTTTCAATGCTCAGATAATTTTAAGGTATGAAATTACACTGTCTAGTCACTATTTAACAGTTACTTGGAATCTGTAATTTCCATTTTCAATGTTGTTATTTAATTTTAAACCACGTCTAATATCAATGTTTTGCAATTGATTGCTTTGACGTGCAGTTTATAGCAGAACCTGAAATTCGACATCAAATAACAAAGTTACATGTGAAAGAGTTGTCTGATTGGTTTGACAAGTTCCTAAAGCCGTAGCAGCTTGTGCCTGAATTGTAAAATGATAAACATGTTGGTCAAAATAAAAGAGAGAGAGATAAATAAAAGAAAATAGAATAAGGAGGGTCTAGAGAAATTCAAGGACGGAATACATGAGAGTTCATTATAATTTATTTTCTTTTATTGTTGCCTATAAAAGGAGTGATTGTTTCATTTCTTTCAACAAGTGCAAAATTCACAATATAAGTGTAATGACAACCCGCCAGTTACAATCCAATAAGAAAAGAACAAAAATTTTAGTGATAGAATTTTGTGAGAAATATTTTGTTGGATGTAACTTGGTTGTGGATTTTGTGAGAGTGATTGTTATTAAACATTATGTACATTTCATTTTATATTAATTTTAGTGCACTTCTGTATTATTTTGTCCTTTCACAAATATGATAATTTTGTCATTTCACAAATATGATAATTTGAAAAAAAAATTGTGTAATTTCCTAACAGCTGGCATCAAAATTGGTTGAGAATTTCTACAAAATTTTCACGAGAAATTGTTAGAAACAATCCAAAGGTGAATTCATATTTGGGTGAGAGTGATGGCCATAGATGAAAGAAAATGAAAGTAAAAAAGTTTGATGGTGTGGAGTTTAACTTTTTAGAAGATGCAAATTGAATATTATATGAATCAGAAAAAGTTACATGAACCTCTCAAGGAAAAGAAGACAAATTTGATGAAGCAAGATGAGTTGAACCTTCTCAATGAGCAAGCACTTGGCGTTATTCGATTGTAGCTATCTCAAATAGTTGATTTTAACATTGCAAAAGAGAAGATAAGTGTCGGTCTTATGAAGGCTCTTTCTAGCACGTATGAAAAGACTTTAGCATTAAATAAAGTTCATTTGATGAGGAGATTGTTTAGGCTTCAGATGACACAAGACACATTGATTGCGCAACATATTAATGAACTCAATATAATCACAACCCAAATTGGTTCAGTTGGAATCGAAATTGACTATGAGGTTGAGCATTGATACTTTTGTCTTCCCTACCAGATAGTTGGAGTGCTACTGCCACGACTCTTATTAGCTCGTCGGAAAGTACAAAGATGAAGTTTGATGATGTTTGTGATCTGGTTCTCAATGAAGAGATCCGACGGAGAGAGGTGGGTGAATCATCATTCTCTTCAGTATTAATACAAAGTCAAGAGGAAGAAAATCAACTAGGGGATATGGGTGTGGTAAATCAAAGGAAAAACGATTTGTTTCGGACTGCCCCAATGGCTAGGCATTGCCTAATCCCCTTCTGCTCTCAGAACGGCCCAATTGCTTAAGTCCAGCCAATTTAGGGGAGCATTTGCCTTTCTGCCCTTCCAGCTAGGAAGGTTGGTCGGTTGACCTCTAGGTCAGCTGCCCCTCCTCAGCAATTCCTGCTCGTCACGCACAGTTCCACCATCCAGAAACAGTCACGACGCCTGTGCCTGCTACTGTGCCTATGCCCGTAGCAACGACTAGTTTTGGGCACCTCTGCCCGTCCCAATGGCTAGTTTCTGGCAGTTACCTATTCTTCAGGGAACAATTATTTCGCTCCGAAAATAGGGACCAATGGCCAAGCGCTGGGGGCACTATAAAAAACCTCTCATTTGAAAGGGTAAGATATTCAATATTCATCCTGTAGCACCCCAAAATTTGCCTTTCGTTTAACCGTAACTGGCTTTTGTTTCTTTGCATTTTGCATTTTTCGCATTGCATAACATTCGTTCTCGAGGCAGGGGATCAAGGTATTCCTGTGGCTCAGGTTTCATTCCAGTGCAAGACTGAACCACGAACAGCAAGCGTCAAGAGTTTCAGACATTTATTTTGTCCAGCGGTCAGGCGACCGATTTTATTTTGCAGGTTAATTTTAGAGCAGGATCAGCACTCAGGCTCATAACAAGCATTTTCACAGTAATAACGGTCAAAAATGAGGTTCAACAGCTAAACAGAGCTCCAAACAGTTGAAACAGGGCAAATTGACATGTTTCCCATCAAAAGGCGCCAAAATTCAAAATTTGAAGGTGTTAATCGGTTAACCTATATGGTTAATCGATTAACCAAAGGAAAATTAGCCCAGATTTAGAATTTTAACAGTGTTAACCGATTAACGCATATGGTTAATCGGTTAACCATAGCAGATTTTGCCCTGTACGAGATTTTGCAAGCCAAATGTACTTGGGGTCCAATTTTGATCACCTTGAAATTCAAATTTTCATTTGGGAAGGATCTAGAACATCTTTAAATTTCAGATTTCCCTCCAAAATCCCATGCCACATTCCAAGCCTTGATTTCCAATCCAATTTCCAAACCTTGCTTTGGGATCCAAACCTAAGTCATATTTAAGTGATTTACTCCAAACCAAACCATCTAATTTTCATTTCTCACATTCATTTTTCAGAATTGATCAGAATTCTCTCTCAAATTCTCTCAACTTCTCCATTTCCAAAACTCACTCAAATCTCTTTTTCATTGGAATTATTGATTCTTCATTGGAATCAATGGATTCTTGAGCATAAACCTCCATTTACCATCACCATTGAATCAATTTTCATCTTCAATTTTTGTGCAAGCTTGGAACTGAATCTGGAGTTGGATCTAGAAGTGATTATTTGAAGCTTTTTGACTCAAATTTGGTGGATCTTCATTCATACAACAACAATTATTGTGGATTTTGAAGTTTTCCGGATCTCTAGTATTTGATCGGCTCAAATTCAGTTGATCAATATTTACCGAAGCAAATCTCCACTTCGAAGGTTGGAATTCTCAATCCGATTTAATTTTTGAGCTTATCATGTTAATCTTCATATTCGATTGAATCTTGTTGATTTCGATCCGTTCGATTTGTGATATGGCTGTGTAATTGTGTATCCATGCTGTTGGATCTCTGTTTTCTGTTGTTAATTTCGTGCTTAATTGATAAGTTGATCTGTTGGAACTTTGGATAAGCTGCTCTGTTGCTAGAAGTGATTTTCTGCTGCTGCTTTTAGCTTCTGGTGCAGTGTTAATCGGTTAACCTATATGGTTAACCGGTTAACCATTTCAAACTTTCAAATTTTTTTCAAACGTTAACAGTGTTAATCGGTTAACGCATATGGTTAACTGATTAACCTGTTCAAAACTTCGGTTTTTTCCAAACTTTTTAAGGTGTTAACCGATTAACCCCAGGGGTTAATCGATTAACACTATGCCAGAATGTCATATTTGCCATTTTGCTTGCTTGTTTGCATACCGTTTCGATTCGAATCATCATAGATCAGTGTGATGCATTAGGATTGAATTGTTTTGAATATTTGTCACTGTTTGTGGTTGGTTAATCATGATATTGTTGACATGTATGTTCATTCTTCCATTTGTTTGCATGCTTGCGTATGTGGTTCGAATTGATCATTTGTTTACATGTTCATTTGCTTTCATCTATTGTTTTTCTCCACATGTTTGCATCATTCTTGCATCGCTGTTGAGGTCGAGACGCGCTTGTGGCGGCTGCTGCCCCACACATTTTTTCCTCCCTCCCACCATTCTAAGTGTGCATTTTCATGTTTGCATTTTTTACTTGTGATTGGTCCTTCCTTTGTTCTTCTTGTGCTTTTTGCCATGATCCCCATAGGATTCCTAGTCCCTCCGTTTAGGACGGGAGTAGGAGAGACATTAGGTGTTCAATCCAAGTATGTTAACATTAGGGTAGATGTTTCCCTTTTTCATCCAAACTTTAGGACCACATTGCATGACAACGTTAGGGCCGAGTTTCCCTTAGACCTTCCGTGCGTCTCTCTTCTCATCTCAAACAATCCTAATTCATCTAATAAAGGCGATAAACGTTGCGCGCTACGAGCCTTATGCTACATGGGGAATGATGAGTGAGGGGTCTCCTCTCGCTTATCTAGAGTGTTTAGTATACGTCCCGTTTGGGGGCGATATACGACACATTCGCCTCCACGTCATAGTCTTTAGTGCAACGTGAATCACAAACTAAATTAATTCACTTCACTAAATAATACAAAACAAATTTCAAACCTTTTTCCTTCGGGATTAATCGAAATTTTTTTTCCAGAAAAGAGTATTGTTAAGCTTTGGTTCTACCGCAAACAAGCTTAGTCCCTAACTGCTGGAACGAATGTTTAACCCTACTCGGTTAAAACACTTAATCAACCGGTGGTTTCGTGTCAGCTCGAACTACGTTTGCTCTGATCTTTCATACCAGATGAAAGTACGTAGGCACAAGACGCGGCGTCTTGGCGAGCAACCTTTCCCCCCTTTCTCCCGTAGTTAGCCGAACTACGTTGACTCTGACTTTCCCATTGCACGAGGGAATACGTAGGCACAGAGCGGCGATGCTCTGCCGAGTCTCTCTTTTCTTTTCTTTTTGTCCTGCAAGCCTATAGCGTAGATAGTTAAACACACCCTTAGATAGACAACAAGCGTGGATCCCGTCGAGTACGAAGGACGTGAGGGGTGCTAATACCTTCCCCTTGCGTAACCGACTCCTGAATCCAGGACTTGGTTGCGATAACCTTGTCTTTCCTTTTTCGTCATGTTTTTACGATCGTTTCCTTTCCCTCTCTGTGGGATAAATAACGAAAGGTGGCGACTCTTCTGTTTTTCCCTGGGTGTTTTTCGCAGTTGCGACAACTGGCGACTCTGTTGGGGATCTCTGGTTCCCTATGAGAGTCAATCCTAGCGCTTGTCTGTTGCGTCTTTGGGTGTTTACTTTTGTGCAGTTTTTGCTTTATGTACATTATCTGTTGTATATTATTGCATTTGCATTTTATTATCATATTATGCTGCTGTGCTGTGGGTTGGGTTGTTCCACCGAGAGATAAGTCGGACCTGGGCTTGAGTATACACATAGGATTAGAGAGGATATTAGCGGGAGCTTGTATAGCGTTTAGCTGCACAATAGCTCACGTGAAATTCACATTCAGACGAGGTTTTTCTTTGGAAATATTCTATCCTGCGCGTCTGGTGCAGTTGAGGGAATATTGACTTAGAGAGACTGTTGACTCTGGA